ATGTTGATGGAGAGTTGATTTTCCTCTTCTTCTTCCTTTGAAATTCTCCATGGTCAGAGACTTCTTCTTCTTCTTCCAAACATATCAAGGCAAGGTTCTGTGGTGCTTCAATGGAGGGAGACACCACTTTCTTCCTTTTGGTAGTCTTTGTCATATGGATAAGTGGGACGTTATCTGAAGAGCTTTCTTCTGCAGTGGCACTAGTACCAGCCCTGTTTTCCCCTTTTGAAGACAGATAGTATAACCAGTATCTTTCTTCATACTTCTTTCCTTTAGAAGCAATACCCATAGACTCCAAAATATGTCCAAGGTATAGTCCTTGACAGAGATATTTCTGGTTGGGCTTTCCCAAATGTTTTGAGATGGAATTGAAAAAGTGTGCAGCCCAGTTTACCTTAGTTTTGGTAATGAGAGCGTTGATGATGAAGGCTCTCTCCTGGGTGATGTCATCGGCGTGACCTCCACTTCCACACTCGAGGCAGGCGATGACCAGTTCTAAAATCAACTTGTAGTCGTTGTTTAGATCTGCTTTCTTTGCCGGGCCAGAAGGAATTTGCCCAGAAATTCCAATGATGTTCCAGTCCAGATTTTTGGCTGGAAATTTCCCAATTTCAATCCCAGAGTTGGGAAGGCGAAGCTTTTCTCCCAATTTCTTCTGCGAAAGCTTCACTTTCGTACCTCCAACAGTGGACATGATGACCGGAAATGTCCGCTGTGGGTCCTTCTTTGAATGAGCAGTTTTGACTTCTCCATTTCTGTAGAATTCAAGAACTTCTTCCTCGAATTTGAGGCGAATCTCCATTTGAAGAAATTCTGAGAGTTCTTGAGCGGCTATCATTTCCAGATAGCTTTGAAAGAATGTCGATGAGGAGCACTTGGCTTCTAACTTCTAAAAATGAATATTAGCGCCGACAACCTTCATTTTCTCAGAAATTTGATTGAGAATTTGAGAGAGAAAGACCTAGGGTTCTTGAGAGTTTTCGCGAAGAAGACGACGAAAAATTTTGAATGGGCGGTTTAGATCTGAATAGTGGCGATTGGGTTTTATTTGGGCGATTTGCGCGGCTGGTGGCGATTGGGTTTGATTTGGGCGATTTATGCGGCTAGTGGCGATTGGGTTTGATTTGGGCGATTTATGCGGCTATTGGCGATTGGGTTTGATTTGGGCGATTTATGCGGCTAGTGGCGATTGGGTTTTTGACTATTCCCAAGGCCACGTGCCTACCCAATATACTGACAGACGTGGAAAGTAGTTCGCCACGTGTAACGCACTTAGTCTAATTGAATTAGACCAATTTTGTGAAGCAAATCAGAAAACTTGGCTTCACTTAGTGGTTTTGTGAAGATATCCGCAAGTTGTTCTTCAGTTGAGATGTACTCAATTTTGATATCTTTCTTTTTCACATGATCTCTGATGAAGTGATGCTTGACATCAATGTGCTTAGTGCGAGAATGATGCACTGGGTTTTGAGAGATGGCTATAGCACTTTGATTGTCACAGAAGATTGTCACTTCCTTTTTCTTGACTCCATAGTCTAGTAGTTGTTGTTTTAGCCACAAAATCTGAGCACAACAATTACCAGCAGCAATGTACTCTGCTTCTGCTGTTGATGTAGAAAAGGAGTTTTGTTTCTTACTAAACCAAGAAACAAGATTTCCACCAATGAATTGACAAGTACCAGATGTACTTTTCCGGTCAACTTTGCATCCGGCAAAGTCAGAATCTGAGTATCCCACTAACTCAAATGAATTGCTTTTAGCATACCACAAACTCATGTTCTGAGTTCCTTTGAGGTATCTAAGAATTCTTTTAGCTGCTATCAAATGACTATCCTTTGGCTTTGACTGGAATCTGGCACAAACACCTACTGCATATGAGATATCCGGACGGCTTGCAGTAAGGTAAAGTAGAGATCCGACAATTCCTCTGTAGAGAGTTTGATCTACATCCTTTCCATCTACATCCATATCAAGCTTGGTGGATGTACTCATGGGGATAGAAACGGATGACTTCTGATCAACTTTGAACTTCTTGATAAGATCCCTTGTATACTTGGCTTGATTGATGAGAGTGCCTTCACTTCTCTGTTTGATTTNCATGTTCAGATGAGAAGGGATATAAGATGCTTCTCCTTCGTTGACTGCAATTGGGAGCTGTGGTATTGGAGATGGATTGTGTTGTTGGAGAATCACTTCCATCTTGCGGTTCCCAGTATGTGCACCAATAAGTCTGAACAGCTTGTATGCTTCCTTTTGATTGTCAATGATCACCTTCAAGTAGTCTTTGGTTACTACCTGATTTGCTGAAGCTATTGCTAGGGCTGATCTGATGTCCATTTGGAGAAGGGACATCTGTTTTTGTGAAATTGAGACAATGTATCATACCAAGCTCTTGGTGCTTGTTTGAGTCCATACAGCGCCTTTTTGAGTCTATACACCTGATCTCCTTTAGTGTGTAACTCAAATCCTGGAGGTTGTTCCACATAAACTTCTTCGTCGAGGTTTCCGTTGAGGAATGCGCTTTTGACGTCCATTTGATAGACCTTGAAGTCCTTGTGAGCAGCATAGGCTAGAAACAGCCTTATAGCTTCAAGTCTAGCAACTGGAGCGAAGGTTTCATCAAAATCTATACCTTCTTCTTGACAATATCCTTTTGCAACTAGCCGGGCTTTGTTTCTGACAACAACGCCATTTTCATCCATCTTGTTCCGGAAGACCCACTTTGTCCCAATGACATGTTGATGAGTAGGTCTGGGAACAAGTTTCCAGACGTTATTTCTGGAAAATTGGTTGAGTTCTTCTTGCATTGCATTGATCCAATCAGAATCAGCTAGAGCTTCTACAATATTCTTTGGTTCCACTTGTGAGATGAAACAAGCAAGCATAGCTTCTAGATTCTGTTGGGCACTCCTTGTGCGAACACCAGATTGAATATCTCCAATGATCTGCTGAGGAGGATGATCCCTTAACCAACGAAGATTGTGTTGATTGGGATTGACTGGTTGATTTAGTTCAGCTTCTGGTTGAAGAACAGAGGTTGTTGGTGTTTCCGGATGGATTGACATTGGGTCGCCATTTCCGGAATTGTCGTCGTTTGAGAGATCCGGGATGTTGGAAGGCTGGCCAAGATTTTCGGAAGGCTCAGCACTATCTGAATCCGGATTTCTCTGTGAAGTCTTCAGTGGTAGACTTCTGAATGGAATGAATTCCGTGGGCTTCATTCTATCTCCTTCATTTACTTCTTCATCCTTGTCTGATAGATCCAGAACCTCATGATCATGCTTTGATGGCTTGTCAACCACATGTTTTTCATCAAAAATAACATGTATTGACTCTTCAGTGATCATGGTTCTTTTGTTGAAAACTCTGAATGCCTTGCTCACCATGGAATATCCTAGGAAGATGGCCTCATCTGATTTCTCATCAAAAGTGTTCAGATAATTCTTCCCGTTGTTCAACACAAAGCACTTGCTCCCAAAAATATGGAAATATGATATATTAGGCTTTCTCCCGTTCCATTGTTCATAGGGAGTTTTGTTGTGCCTTTTATAGCTCATACTCCTATTTTGAGTATAGAAGGCTGTGTTAACAGCTTCAGCCCAGAACCTCTTTGGTAAGGAAGTTTCTGCTAGCATGGTTCTCACTGCTTCCTTCAAGGTTCTGTTCCTTCTTTCAGCTACACCATTTTGTTGAGGTGTCCTTGCTGCAGATGTCTGATGAAGAATTCCGTTTTCTTCACAGTAGTGAATGATGATTTCATTCAGGAATTCTGTGCCTTTGTCAGATCTGATCTTCTGAATGGTCTGACTTGCTTGGTTTTGA